CCAGCACTCTCTCGTGCTTCTCCGTGATACGGCTGAGTAGCTGGCGTAGGAGCGATGACGTCGATTCTAAAGCTGAATCCTGAACTCGTGCTTTCTTGGCTTGATCCCGTCCTTGTGGACGCTCACTAGTCTCTTTCTCTGGCTCTGGCACAGCGTCACGGCTACGCTTTTGACGAGCAGGTAAGCCAAACACAGCAAACTTGCGGCAGCTTTTCAAGATCATCCAGCACGACAAATACTCGAACCTACTTCCATGAGTTTCCTGGAACAATGCAACAGCATCATTGACACCATCGTCGTCATTGCGAGCTTTCACGCGAGAAACACACCCAGCGAACTTGGCCGTGTCATGAGAAGTTAAGCTGCAGCGATTTTCGATGGCCTGCGAGGTCCGAGAGTCGCCGCCGAAAGCTGTTGCTGTACGCTGGCATACATTCTCCCAGAAAGCAGTAGCCTTTTGATCAGTCCCCTGGATGGAGTTTTCAGCGGCAGCCTTGTACGCACGAGCCAGAGCCTCGTCCCCCTGATTGCACCACCTCTTGCCTCTCCCCATGATGCTGCGCGATCTTTCTGTTGTGCCAGTTTCTATTTTTGCACCACAGTTGCTATTCGGGCCTCGAATAGTATGAAAAGTCGAGTTGCTATTCTATTATAGCAATAGCAACCCCGACTGGAGATAGCAGATTGTAACATTTTCTCTATTTAGCAATAGAAGCTCAAATAGCAGCTTGAGTGGAGATAGCCTTAGCGCTAGAATAGTTTATTTCCTACATGTAAACTGAATAGCAGTGGCAAGCAAGTCCCAATTTTGCTTAAATGACCACTATTTTAAACAGTTTCAAATCTGAAATTGTCAATGTCAGGGTATTCTGGTACATGTACAGCTTCTAATAATTTTAGTTAGTCTTTTCATCCGAAAAAAAAAATCAAGGTAAAGCAGTGCCAACAAAGCTTAGTGGTCTAGGAAGAGCAAATAATTGGTCCCAATAGGTAAGGCGAGACGTCGTGACCTCGGTCATTGGTGTACAGTCAACGGCTCGACGTAGGATGTCCCAGTTCCCCTCAGAAGCATTCATAAGGAGCGTCGACTGCCCGATCTGAAATAGCTCCGAAAATGCTGATGTGTTGCCACTCAGGATCTTCTCAAGGTCTAGACAATACGTTGATCCACCAGCATAAATAGTTGCAGTTGTAGAGCCTTCCAATGCTATCTCAGCCAGCGGATCCATCCACGACCAAAAAAAGAAATACGCGTGTCCATGAGCTCTAATTGGGTAGCATAGCTCAGCAAAAACGATACGTTTTGCGGCAACTCGCGCAATAAAGTTCGACTCAAACTGGTGTATTGTATGATACCAATTTCGAAGAGTTCTCTGGGCACAGCTTGAATTGGGTTACCGTCCAATGAAAGCGTTTGAGGACGTAAACGCATGAGTGATGGTGGTACTGCTGTTAGCAAACTGTTCTCAATGTAGACCGCGCAACTAGGCCATTTGGAGTCGAGATCGTCCGGCAATGATCTCAGATTCGTCTCTACCAAGTATACCCCAAACACAGTATGCGGGAATTCCGGTGACTGAAGGCCAAGTGGTAAAACACCTTCCGTCATGTTGCTGCGAGCAATGGTAACCGATCCCCATTTCGGATGGTGAATACTGGAGAGTGCGGCGCTGGCGTTCCATTCAACAAGTGTTGTATTGTACACAAAAACCTCTCGAAGTTGACGGAATCGTTGAATGTGCGGTGGTACTTCCATTGCTGGGCAATGTAATATCTGAAGTTTTGCAACTGTACCGTGCCCGAATCGCCCCCACTCTTTGTTAACTTCATCTGTCAGTCCTGAGATCCCAAGCTGATAGCAGTCAAAGTTCACGACAAAACATGAACGACCTGTGAGTTTCTTTTTATTTTATTTTACTGTATGCATCCTCAAATTCTAAAGGGTACCAAGTGCTGTCCAGTTCCTCACAATGCACTGCAATTTCTAGGATATCCCAGTTGTCGACAGAGGCGTCTGAAAGTATGGATGTCTCTGTATGGCTCTGTGGAAATATCGAAAAATTGGTTTGCCGTTCTTCAAAAATACGTTTGATATCCACGCAGTAAGGTGTGCCTCCGGCGCTTATCGGAGGTGTGGTTGGAGAGGCAGTGACCAACGGATCAATCCACGACCAGAAGAAGGAAACATTGGTGCCACTCAGATTTATGTCGGTCATTGACGATGATAACTTGGAGACGTTTTCTGGTAGTTCTGATATCAACGTGCCTCCAAAGTTCAGATACGCGACTGATTCACTCTCAAAGAGCTCTTTAGGAATGGTTGAAATTGGGTTCAGTGACAACGATAGGTCAAACGGTGCAAGTCGGACTAGTGATTGTGGAACGTCTAGAAACTGGCTGGCTTCGATGTAAATACTCGCGTACTGCGGCCACTTCAAGTCCAAGTCTTCAGGTAGAGAACGCAGATTGGTGACACAAAACTCGATGTCTTCTAGTGATTGAGGAAAGTCGTCAGCATGAAGACCGATGGGTATCTCACCATTCGTCATGTTTACGCGAACTAATAACAGTGTGGTTAGCATGGGATGAAATTCATGAGAGATAGCAGCCTCTTGATCCCAACTTGAAATTGTAGAATTGTAGATCTTGAACTCTCTCAAACCACAAAACTCAGTTAGTTTTTCTGGAAGCTCCAACGCCGGGCAATGGCGTACAACAACACGTACTACCGTTGTAGGATCGAATTCACTCCATTGAGTAGTAACTTCATCTCTAGTGCCGTTAAACCCAGAATCGTAGCAATTAAGCTCCAGTAAAGAGCAAAATGGCTGAGATGTAGTCCACGGTTTCACTTGCATCTTGCACTGGGGCAACTCAGGTATGGATCCAGCGTATAAATGAAGAATCATAACCACTAATCCCCAGAGAAAGAAACCAATCTCTGTAGCTTTTCCCACCCAAAAGTGTAGAGATTCCCGATCGACACTTTCGAAATTTTTCTTGATACTCGCCAGGCTAGCGTGAAAGGGGGCAACGACTGTAGCGCGATGGCGAGCGTGAGTTGCACGTCTAACGCGCTTCGTTGGTCTTGCACGGATGAGCTTCTTAATGTTGTTTAGGTTCCCCAGCATACTCAACGCAAATACAAATCGCATCGCTAAATCGCCCCACGAAGCCACTAAGACCATTTGAAACTCGCTCATTGCATGGACCCGCCAGTCGTCTTCATACCATTTCAGAAGAGGAAATCCATAGGTTTTAAACTCGAAATCGGGGATGTACATAGCCACTAGTACAGTTGTGATCCCGACCGATGACACTAGATATAGGACGCAGTCACAGATCAGTGCTAGTAGTCGTCTTTGTGTGGCATGGTTGCGGAAGAATGAGTGTACAAGTGCTGTGCTCCAGCAGTTGAGAACGAGTAAAGCTACATAGCCGCGGTTTAGCTCTCTGCGAGGTACGAGCAGACTCATACGATACGCTTGCTGGGTTTGCAACGCAGTCTCTACAATTTCTCGACACAGTAACACGAAGTCAAAATTTGGTCCATCAACTCCTAAAAATCCGTCTCGCGTGAATACTGCTCGGTAAGTCCAGAAGATACCGTCTTTTATAGGAGCAACAAGAGACCAGTCTTCCCCGAATCCGTCGACGTTGGCTGGAAATTTGATGACATTGTAGATTGCGAACACTACATCTTTTTTCCACCAAGACCATCCGATCATCCAAACAATGTACGTAGCATGAACAATTGCCATAGATAAATGTACTAATGCGATCATACGATGATATTCAGTACCCATCCCGATGTAAAGCAATGCTAGCCATGCATCCAAGCGAGTCTCAGGTAGTTTCCAGTAACCCCAGCCGGCGAACGCAAAATACACGAAGCACACGAAATGAAGAAATTCGAAGCCAACCCAAGCAATTTTTAGCACAGTGGGCGAAAACTTGTCGGATTTTAAGCGTGCGATACGCTCATGGACACGAATTTGAGCGAGCCCAGGAGCTCTCCCTGGAGCAACACCGTGTGGCATCTCAATACGAAAGAAGTCGATGGATTTATGCGGCATTTTTAGATTCGGTATTTCTACAGATATTATTATACTGCAGTGTCTAGCGACCACAAATTCACAAGGACAACGACGTTATTATTATCCTGGCGAAGTTTTTATTCATTCAAAGTGATTTGATAAAAAAAAATTCACAATAGTAAATTATGTGCACTAGAGAGTAATGTTTATAGAGAATTTTTATGATAGTAAATGAAACGAATCATAAACATCTCAGAAAAATCATACGATCGATTTCGTACGGACAATTCAGTGTAATTGTGGACATTATGGAAAATAACCCCTTATTAACATGGGAAATCTCTATCAACCAGGCCTATTGATGTAGAGGTTGTTTGCCACGAATAGTAACTCGATATGACACGTAATCTTAAAAAGATAAAAGACTACAGAGACGCTGTTGTCTTCTTAGATAATTCGCAGCGAATATAAGGAATTTGGCTCTCACCATATACAGTAGCTCCGAAAATTGCCCACTTTTCGGGAAAGATTAATGTTGAATACTACTAACGCTAGTAAATAAGTACCGGTATTTTATCGTGGACCACGATTCGTGGTCGTACTTATATATGTACGATATTATAGTGGCGTACCAAGCATCAATGTGTCGACATTTAGGAGAAAAAAAGAGATATTAACGATGATCGAATCAACGTTGGTCCTCAGGTTCGTGACAGGGATTTGCATCGTTGAAGCTGGTGTTATCATTTTCCCGGTGCATTCGACTACTGCCGTGGACACACAAGCTTCATAGTTATATTGGTGATTTGTATTGGCGTTTCGAAGTTCCTTTCGGCGATTACTGCCATGGCTTATCGTAAGCCCATTGCAAAGTACTACAGCGTTTCACCCATTCTATAATTGATAAAAATACACGTTCAATAACTGCGTGCTGTGGCAAGCGTTGCATTACAGCGCATTGCCATGCGCATCGAGGCAAAACGCGACGTAATGGCCGATCCAATGTCACAGCTCTCGGCATCGACACAGGTATTTGTTACGATGAACGCGAGTGGGTTCTCGCTCTGGTGGTTTATTATTCTCTTGGTGCATTTGACTACGTTTGCCTACAACATGGGCTTCGCATTGTTTTACTGGAATGTGACCGACTGGTATTTAATGTTTGCGCTCGCGAGCCATGGCGTCGGAATGCCATCGTCAGACTTCCGCACCATTTCTTACGTCCACATGGCGTTGGCAGGAGCTCACGGGTTTTACCTGGTGAAAATGGTTTTCGGATCTGCGAAGCACCGTACCTTAGTATTTAGCTTTACGTCTCTCAGCAGTAGAATCCTGTCCAACGGAGCGGAGTCTAGCTTGGTAAGACCCATTCATGAAGAAAAAAATGGAGCCAATCGGTGTATTAACTGGGTGTTTCGCACCAAGAAAATCTGTAGATTTATCACTCGAAAGAGGCATGGACTGAGTGTCAACGGTAAATATTTCCATACGATTCTTATCTGTCGTGAGTTGGTCGAATCAGCTCTTCAGACGATGCAAGCCATTCGGATGAGCAGGTACCTTTCGCATTCCCATCTAAACCGCTTTCATGTCGGTTTGCTTGTGGTCAATTGCTGGTTGTCCGTCATTATTTACTCTCGATGGTTCAAGGATGATGAAGCGTATCGACGGTTCGCGTTGGTTGTGTGTGACTGCGCACTCGACTTGATGTCAACTGTGGGTGTGGCTGCTTGGGTGGTTTCGAGGTATATAGATCAGTACGACGTCAACGTGAATGGGTTTGGTGCTCAAATGATGGATGATGAGTGGTTTGCAACGATGATGAACGAAGCACAAGTTGTCTTGGTGACATCGTGGTCAGACTTGGTCATTCGCGTAATTTTTTCGATTGGCCTACTTGGAGGAACTGGGAAAATGAAAGACCTTCTTCAACGGCGGCACAGTCGAATAGCAACTGAAACTCTCCATAATGACACCAATCAACTGGACTCGGTTGGTACGTTTTTGACCACTCAACACACAGTCAGCAAAATTCACAATAACCAAATTGTTAGGGCAATAAGAAGATCATCATTTGGAAATTTGAGCGCGTATCGGCGTCGTGGCCTGTTTGAGGTGGTTCAAATCATGCTGGCGATATGGGGCATAGGTGTTCTAGTATTGCATATTGATGCATCGCTGCGACCACCGTTGCTTGAGTGCAATCCTAAAGTTCATCCGATGGCGGGGGCGCTTCCATCCACGTCGTTGCTGAAAATCTCAAATTCGCACTTAAAAGAGATAATTTGCATTTTCTTAGCAACGACTCGTCCAACAATAAGAAGTTAGCGAACATAAGTACGAATCGCGATTTAAGAGCCCTTTTAAGCAATTGTGGTCTTCAATATGTCTAATACCCGATATATGTTGGCTATAAAAAGCTATCTCCATTTTCGGACACTCAAAATAGCTGTGCCTTATTTTTCAGAAATGGCTTGATTAAAGTAAACCAGAAGCATTTTTGAGCCAAATTCAATTGTTTTTCTTCGTATGTTGTAAGACTCGGCGTACAATTTTGATGATGTCGTATCTTACGACGTTTAGAGACGAAGAATTAACTTTTTTTTATGTCTAAAGCTTTAATTTTTGATTTGATGTGGCCGTATGTTTTCGAATAGAAGAAGTGAATTTATACTTGTTGAAAGGGTATGCTTATACCGGTGGGAGAACCCAGCAGACTTGATTTTTGTATGTGGATGCTTGGAAAGGTATGCTTTACCGCTCAGAATATTCAAGTTTGTGCGAAATTCACAATAACGCTGCATCGAATGCATCATTAAAATGTTAATTTTTTTTAACCCTTTCGCGGAAAAAAATTATGTTGTAATATCTTGCGAATTTGTCGTGATTGTTCTATTAAAATAAAATGCCTTTATGAAGATGGGTTAGCTCATACGACTAATAGTAGTTTTTCCTGGTAGTGCTTCAGAATAAAGTACATACAGACCAAAAGGCATTAATTCAAATAGAAAAATGTGTGTCGAACACCACGCAAAGGTATGTATTTGCCTTTATCGACTTTGAGGAGCGCTGACGCTCATTTAAGGATGCATTTTTTTCCATACCGGAGATAGTATCAAATCTCAAACAAATATTCAAATATCATATCAACTTCAGATAATGTGAGCTACTAATTGTAAAAATATTTAAAATCAAAATAGTACAATCAACCTAAAAACATCATTTGATATTTGATAAGAAGTATTAGAAATGATTAGTCCCTTCTGTTTGCTGTTTACTTGGTAAGTGCGTCTGTAATCATATATTACAAACTTGCCAAGTAAACCGCAAATGACGAAGTGGCCTATAATAGTTTCTGAGAGGTGCTCAGTGAGCAAGCTAAGCTTGTACAAAAAAAGGAAATAACAGCAGGATACTGCAAGAAACGCTATTATAGTCACTGACGGACAGCTCGGGTGTCAAAGAGTGTGCAGTTTGGTATCGCGTAACTTTGCTGGCAGATACATGTAGCCCTTAAAAACCAGCTGGTCTTTGAAAAACAGACCAGGTCGCTATTGACCTGTGCCTCAACATAAGATCGGAGCTTCTGCGGAGTTTATCGGTGCCTTTCTCAAAGTTACGATACGTAACGTAATCCTTTTCGTATCGTAAACAGCTTTAATGAGCTGTAAACGGACAGCACCTCGAAGTATAAAAGAATCGATCTCTTATTTAACTTAGCTGGCATCGTGTTCAGATTATCGCTTCGTTGATTCACTTCCTCACTACCCTTTTTTCTTTCGACAGGTGGAGCCTCAACAATCCTCGTCAATGCGTCTGATTGTAGCGTGGGGCTCAGGTTGAAAGCCTTGCCCTCATTGCACTTTGGAGTGAATGCAAGTTGCATTTACTACCAGCTGGCAGTCCTTGCAGTTGCAGTTGCAACTACTAGGCTCGAGCCTCTGGCAGTGCCAGGAGGCTGTCCTGCTCGCTGTAGCGATAACAGGATTTGGAAACAGAGTAGTCTAGTCACTTTACCTTTTGCTTTCTACTCAGTAAGCAATACAATCGGCTAAACGTTCGGAAGTGCCAGCTTCCCTAACTGTGTCTACTGTTTTCGTCTCGTGGACGTACTACAAAGTCGACTTTAGTGAACCCACGTTCACACGATGAAGAAACCGGACCGTCGCGGCAAGACAGTTGAAGATGATGCTCCATTGTCAAGTGACATCAACACCGTGGGTGTGCCGTTGCTCATTCCGGTGGTCGCGCCCCGACTGTCGTCCATGTCCCACTCTGCATTAATCAAGTGGAAGAAAGCTCGAGCTGAGTATGAAGAGAGCGTGAAAGCTCGCAGCAAGGGTGATGATGAACTCTACGAGCGGCTCAAGGAAACAATTAAGAGTACCGTCGACGAAAGACTGTTGAAGGCTCTCTGTACCTACCGCTGAGGCGGAATTGCGCCCAACGCTGTGACCGATGACCAAATTATGTCAGAAATTCAGGCGATTGTCGAACGTGTTATAAACGACACACTTCCCGACATAGATATGCTTTTTGGTAAGAAGCTGCGTCTTAACATGTCTGAAACAGACGTGAACGAGCGCGTGCTGCAGTACTTCATGCTTTGCAACGAACTGATCGAAGAACACGGTCTAGTGACCTGTTTTGAAGGTCAGCACGGTCAAAAAGAGAAGTGTAAACTGCTTATTGAGTCACTGACGCCCAGTGAGCTCAAAGCAGATGTGCAAACTGCTATTCGTTTCCAATCGACGGAGGCGCGTAGTGACGAGTTAAAACTCCATGACCTGATCTTGGAAAAGGCGTTGGAGCAGGATCGCGACTTTCGCCGTCGCAAACGTTCACGCAACGAGGAGAGGTTCGCAAGGTCTGAGAAGGTGCCCAAGCTCCAGGATCAGAAGAGTTTGAGTGACCAGAATGGCCGTCGCCAGCGTGGCACACATGAATCTAAGGGTGGGGATGTCAATCGAGCGACACGATCTGTAGTAAGCCAGGACTCAGAGAAGAAGCGACCTCTCGTACCAAAAGACGGATGTCTTAAATGCAGTGGGCCACACTATGTGTCGAATTGCCCAACTGCGTCTCCAGAGGAGAAGAAGGAATTACCGAAGAAGTTTCATACCTCTCGCCATGACAAGAGCAGGATGAAGCGGATTAAGAAGCGTCTGGGTGGAGTGAACACCATCACGCTGAACGACGTGTATGACCTGCAGTACTGTGCGGATACAGGCTCGGACAGGTGCCTGTTGAGTCGGAACAACTTCAACGAGCTCATGCGGCTCGACGACAACGTGAAGTCTGTCCCGTTGAGCACACCAGTGATTGGGAAAGCTGTTGGCGGTCACGATGTTGAAGCGCGTGAGTCTGTACTGCTGGCAATTCGTCTACATACTACTGCTGGACCTGTGGAGCTCGCAGAACCCGTCAATTGTCTCATTATTGATCAAAACGATGATGAATTTATCGTCGGCAACGATATGCTGCTCTCTCTAGGAATCAATGTGGACAGACAACTCGAGCAACTTGCTGGTGGTAAACTCAATGACGATGAGGATCCCATTGCGAGTGATGATGAATTTCGGCCTGGTCATGCAAATGACCTTGATATCCAGGGAGGCCTTGAAAAACTGCTCACTGCTGCACTGGATAACGGTTTTCCAATGAAATTCATGAAGGAATTGCGTCGAATCGCTAAGAAGCACGACATTTGGCGGCTAGTTCTCTGTGACGACCCTCCTGCTAAGGTGCCACCGTACAAGCTTCGCTTGAAGCAGGATGCAAAGCCTTTCCGCTGCAAAGCTCGGCAGTACGGACCCTTACAGAGTGCGTTCCTGAAGGAGTTCAACCAGACTCTAGTGGACCTTGGTTGGGTCTACAAAAACCCTAGCAGTCATTGGGCTTGCGCTGCTCTGCCTCTTAAGAAGCCGAAGGTCAATGAGTTTCGCCAAGCGGTGGATTACAAGCCATTGAATGCGATGACCGAAGCAATTGCAGGCGTTATGCCAAACTTGAAGACAAAGTTGGAGCGATTGAAAGGAAAGAAACACTACGGTCTTTTCGACTTTATCCGCAGCTTTTGGCAACTTGCTGTGGCGATAGAATGCAGAGAGCAGCTCTCGTATATGACGGATGAGGGCGTGTTCACGCCAACCCGTGTGATGCAAGGAAGTTGTGACTCGGCGTTACATTTTCAAGTCTCGATGGAGAACTGTTTCGCTGAGCTACTCGATCACAATTTACTTATCTGGATTGACGATCTCTTGTTCTACTCTGACACTATAGAGAGTTACCTTGTTGCTCTAGAGAGACTGTTTGACTTGGTGAACGAATTCGGATTGAAGTTGAGTCTGAAGAAGTCCTCGTTGTACCAACGCTCAGTTACGTGGTGTGGTAAGGTGATTGATGAGAATGGTGTTCGCCATGACCCAAAACGGATTGATGGGCTCACTTCAATGCCAGTGCCAGTCACAGCGGGACAATTACAGCAGTTTATCTGCGCAACGAACTGGATGCGAGACAGTTTGGTTGACTACGCTCGCACCGTTCGGCCGTTGCAATCGCTGTTGGATCGCGCACTTGCTGGTAAACGAAAGACGAAGCGTGTTGCTTCAGGGATCAGCATCGCGTTGGATGATGATGAGCTCCGCAGTTTCGAACTGGTCAAGAAGCTCCTGCAGAGCTCGGCCATGATGACACACCCGCGTGAGCAGGCAACCTACTGCTTGTTTACAGATGCTAGTGACTACGGTTGGGCTTCGGTCCTTACTCAAGTGGGTGAATGGAAACAAGGAGTGGCAATTACTGAACAGGAACATGAGCTACTGGTATGCAAGAGCGGTTCGTTCACTGGCGCTCAGCTCCACTGGAGCGTCATTGAGAAAGAGGCACTACCAATCGTGCTCTCCTGTGAAGACCTTGACTACCTGTTGCTGAGGCCCGGTGGTTTCAAGGTGTTTTGTGACCACCGAAACCTCATCCATGTTTTTGCCCCTGGACAAGAAGTAAAGAAGCACGTACGTGGAAAATTACTTCGATGGGCTGTCAAACTCATGGAGTCTCGCTATACTATCGTTCACATCGAGGGTGTCAACAACTTGTGGGCGGATATGCTTAGTCGGTGGGGCGGCGCTGCTACCCCTACGGCATCTACGACTACGAAGCCTAGCTTGAAGCGAGTGACTCGTTCACAGACTAATGTTTCTCAGAAGCCTCTGCTTCGGCCTCTCGACCAAGAGAACTTCACGTGGCCGACGTTGAGTGAAATCGCGGCTACGCAAGCGGCTCATGTAGTGTCTGCTCCTACTGCTAGTGCTGCAGATGGACATGGTGTCTACCGACTTGATGGCTATATTTGGATACCTACTGCTGCCACGGCTCTCATCCAGCGACTCCTGATCATCGCTCATTGTGGGGCACAGGGTCACCGTGGTGAAGCCGTGGTCTTGAACCACATTCGCCGTGTATTTTCGATTGAGGGAATCTCTGCTCTAGTTCGTCGTTTCCTGCGCTCCTGCTTGCTCTGTCAGCATGTAAAAGGAGGTAGGGTGGTGCCTAGACCATGGGGTGAGCTGTACCGCTCTGACATTCGCAATGGAGCTTTACACTGGGATTTCCTTTATTTGGGTGATGGATTTGGCTCATGCAAGTACCTACTACTGCTGAAGGACAACTTTACCCATTTCTGCGAGTTGATTGCGTGTGATACACCAACAAGTGAGGTTGCAGTTGATGGCCTGCTTGGGTGGCACAGTCGGTTCGGTGTACCGCCTGTATGGGTCAGTGACAGTGGCTCGCATTTCAAGAACCAAGTTCTTGCCGAATTATGCAAGCGACTGAAATGTGAACAGCAGTTCGTAGTGGCGTATAGTCCGTGGATCAATGGATCTGTGGAACGTGCAAACAGAGATATACTGCAAGTGCTACGTGCAATGATTATGGAGTACAAGATTTCGCACAACGACTGGATCTATCTTATACCTTTGGTGCAAGCTAACATGAATCACTCTCCGGTGGCTTCTCTAGCTAACAAGGCCCCTGTTGAGGTATTCACTGGCTTGCCATGCCCAGCACCAGCCTACATCCTGCATGTACCTGAAGAGCAACCTAAGGCAGTCTATATTTCCAGTGCAGTCATCGATAATTCTCTGGCGAAACTACGTTCCAGTATTGAGGACATGCACTGTGCCGTCAAGGACAAGCGTGAGAAGATCACGTTGCTGAACAAGAGAAAATCCAGAGGTGCACAAGAAGTAAACTTTTCTGCGGGTGATTACGTCCTACGATCACGTGTCGATGAGCGACGACACAACAAGTTGCTAGTCACCTGGCTCGGTCCCTACGTAGTTACCCGTGCGGACTCTCATTCGTTTCGTGTTCGGCACCTCGTTACCGGCAAGGAGCAAGATGTGCATGCTTCACGCTTGAAGTTCTACGCGGACAGCGACCTGGAAGTTACGGAGGAGCTACTGGAGCACGTCGCCTCCCAGGGCATTGTGTTGAAGGTTGACCGACTTAACAAGCACCGTTGGAACGAACAGAACCAGGCTTTTGAGCTCCTAGTGAGTTGGTGCGGCTTAGAGCCCATAGAGGACTCATGGGAGCCTTTGAAGTCTCTAGCACAGGATATCCCCGTGCTAATACGTACCTACGTGGAAGCTGCCGAGGATGCTAAGTTGGCGACAGCTTTACAGAAGCTGACCTCGAGCTAGAGATCTTCATGTGCCAAGTTGGCAGTCACAGTGTGAGCAAAGTCATTACTATTTCGGCAGTTGCTTTGAAGTAGTGAGACGCACAAGGTCAGTGGCTTGTGTATCCATGACTCAACCTGTGTGGTTGTAGGCATGCGGAAAAATGAAATTTGGATTATGGTACAGTGTCCCAAAATAGTGGTACAGTGTACCAAACTGACGTTGCAATATAGTAACTTGAAAATACCCATATTGCCTATTTGCAAGTTGTGAGCAAGGCTTGGGAGGGAATTGTAGCGTGGGGCTCAGGTTGAAAGCCTTGCCCTCATTGCACTTTGGAGTGAATGCAAGTTGCATTTACTACCAGCTGGCAGTCCTTGCAGTTGCAGTTGCAGCTACTAGGCTAGAGCCTCTGGCAGTGCCAGGAGGCTGTCCTGCTCGCTGTAGCGATAACAGGATTTTGGAAACAGAGTAGTCGAGTCACTATACCTTTTGCTTTCTACTCAGTAAGCAAGAA